CTGCCAGCGCATAAGACAAGCATTCGATAACCAAGTACTCTCTACGGGCAGCCAAGAGCTCACCGAGAGCTTCATACGGTCAGCGCATGATGAATCTAGGTGTAAATCTCCACAGGACTTTCATTGGGTTTTCACGGTTGCATCAGTACCTTTCGCAAGTATCGGCATTTACTTTCTTCGCCATTTCGGATTGCTTGTTGGCGCGGGTCGTCGCAGAATTTTAGATGACCATATAAAAGTTAGTGTTGATGGCGTCCTTTCAAATGCCCGATAATCAGCCCTGTATTTCGGAACGACGGACTACTTGAGCCTCCTTTCCGAATACCCGCAACTGGTTCGACCGGTTGCAGAGCTTCCCCCAGTCACACCGAGGTCACTCACCACATAGTCACGAGCAGTCGACCAGTTGACGCACGACCAAGACAGCTTGCTCCTGACAAACTACGTGCAGCACGAGTTGAATTCGACCACACGCTTCAGCCCGGTATCGTCAGAACGTCCAACAGCCCATGGGCGTCGCCTCTACACATGGTCCTGAAGAAGGTCATGAGGGACTGGCGTCCTTGCGGCAACTATCGAACCTTGAATACGGTTACCAAGCCCGATCGTTATCCGATCCCAAACATCATAAATCTCACCGCCAGTCTGGCGGATAAAAATATCTTCAGCAAAATCGACTTGGTACGCGTACATAACCAAATTCAGGTAGCCGAAGCGGACGTAGCTAAAACTGCCGTGACAACTCCACTTCATTCATTCGAATTCTTGCGCAGATCATTTGGTCTAAAGAACGCCGCGCAAACTTTTCAGCGATTCATCGACCAAGTGTGTCGCGGCTTAGACTTCGCCTACGCTTATCTCGACGACATTTTAATCGCGAACTTTTCACGAGAAGAGCATATGCGCCACGTACGAGCAGTTTTTGATCTTTTGTATGAACACGGGGTGAGGATAAACGCAGAAAGGTGTTCGTTTGGTGTCGACTCAGCCAACTTCCTCGGCCATTGTACCTCCTCTGCAGGCATCGCGCCAGTTCAGGATAAAATTCATGCCATCGTCGACTACCCCGAGCCTCATTCTTTTAAACAGCTTAGGCGATTTGATGGGCTTGTCAACTTTTACCGACCGTTTATACCAAACTGCGCCTCGTTGATGCAACCCATCATGGACCTTTTACGAGGGACACTCAAGAAATTCGAATTTCCTGCCGCAGCACGCGCTGCTTTTAAGTCGCTGAAACAGGCTATCACCAACATCGTTTCTATAGCGCATCACGTTCCGGCAGTCCCACTATCCCTCAGTACTGACCTCTCGGACGGGGCGGTAGGGGCTGTTTTGCAGCAACGGGTAGCCGACGCGTGGCAGCCCATAGCATTATTTTCCAAACGCCTACAACCTACCGAAATTTGTTACAGCACGTTCGGTAGAGAACAACTAGCCATATAGCGCCGCTACTTTGCCGTCTTCACCGACCACAAATCCGTGACTTACGTGCTCGGCTGGACTACCGACCGATACTCTCCTAGAGAGTCGCGCCATCTAGAATATATCGCTCAGTTTACGACCGATATACGGCATATCTCAGGTGTGCACAACACCGTCGCCGACGCACTTTCTCTAACTCAACCGATCTCTGCGGACGCCGGCACTGCTATCGACTTGGTAGCCATGGCCACAGCGAAACTCAGTGATCCTGAGGTTGATCTACTTTGCAAGTCTCCCTCAATGGACATACGACCAGTTCCGCTGACAGTCTCAGAGGGAATTATACTTTGCGATTTCTCGCTGGGCCCGCCGCGCCCAGTCGTCCCACGCGAGTTCTGCCAGATTGTGCTCAGCACGTTGCACAGCTTGTCTTCCCCAGGCGTTCGTGCACTTTTCGTTTGGCGCAATGTTAATCGAGACCTCCGTACTTGGGCAGCTGCTTGCCTTCAGTGTCAATGCGCGAAGTTGTACAAGCACACGAAAAGCCCATTAGGTACGTTTACGACGCCAGACTAACGTTTTCATCACGTGCACTTCGACTTCGTAGGTCCTCCGCCACCTTCGAAAGGCGCTGCGTATTTACTGACCTGTGTCGATCGATTTACTAATTGGCCTGAGGCCGTCCCTATCCCATATTGCTCTTCAGAAACAGTCGTAAAAGCATTTTTAGAACGCTGATTTGCACAGTATGGCCGCCCTGTCATATTGACCACCGATCGTGGGTCACACTTTTCTTCCACGTTTGCTTCGTTGTCTAAGGACTTAGGTTGCCGCCACGTCTAGACGAAGGCGTAGCATCCGGCCCCTAATGGTATAGTGGAGCGCTTTCACCGCTAGTTGAAGGCAGCGCTACGTGCGCAGGCAGATATTTCATGGTCTGCAACCCTTCCCCTCGTCCTCATAGGCGTAAGAAACACGGTTAAAACAGATTTCGATTTAACACCAACTCAGCTAGTCTGCGATCTCACGCCGCGGTTGCCCGGACAGCTGGTATCACAGCCCCGGCTACTTCTTCTTTTGGCTACTGAAGTTACACCGAGCGATTGGCTCACCAGATGCGTGAGTGACGTCCACCCGCCTCTCAATCGCAGAAGACATCCGTTTACCTGCCAGAGCAGCTGCCTACGTCTTCACACGCCCTTCTTCGCGCAGACCGTGTTCGACGGGCACTTCAGTCGCCGTACATAGGATCATTCAAATTGTTACTCCACGCGAATATGACGTACAAGATCGACCGCGGTGGCAGACGCGAAATCGTCACCATCGACAGTCTAAAGCCGGCCTTCATGAAAGAAACCACCTCGCTTACTTCGTCTAGTAGTGCATCGTGCGATGTCACAACTCACCGCACCAGCTTTCAGCATCCCAGTGTAGTTCAAGCAGATCACGATCTCGATCTACAAGCATCAGCCGTCCCGAATCTAGCCCGCTGCCTCCCACGATCAGTCGCTGTGTTCGGGAGGTTCGTAAGCCGGTTCGTTTTGCCGACTATTTACAGTTTAACTACGTGTAGATTTGTAGATATTGTATATATTTCCACGTTTGTGGTCGGCTGATATTTTGGAAAAAAATCAACAACTTCTGAAAAACCTGTCTTAAAAATATGGAAAAAACAAAGCTTAATCGTGCAGCTCTTTCGTTCGCACTTTTTGGTGTTTTCCGCGCGCGCTTTTCTATTTTCTAGTCTCTACTTGTCCAACCTTCCCCTTCGATCCACTGGCCCACACGAGCCATGTTTCCGAGGATCGGCGCAGACAACGAGGATCCTGACGAGAACACTGACAATTTCTCCGTGGAATGTCGGTCACTTCTTCTTGGGACGATCATCGTTTCTCCGTGCGACGAGGGTCGTTTTGGCGCGGGTAATTTGTGGCGTGGGAAGAGACCGCTCACAAGTGCACCGTTTGCCAGCAGCGGCGGTTTAGGTCCTGTCGGCCATTTTCTGGGCTAGCCAGCTTTGTAGTCTGACAAGCCCGTTCCAACGGCTCGCCGAAATGCACCCTGCCCTGCGACCAATCAATAATAAATCACGACGGAACTACGGATCCTAATTGTCGGCCACATCCATTTCCGAACACCAACAGATATTCTTTTGCATATGACTACCTTTTGTGAACTTCGATCCCACACTCTTTTTGATTTCGAAGGCTTCCTGGTTCAGCCTTCTAAGAGGGGAGCTCTGTAGCCACTCAAAAGATGTTTCTTAGCTTATGTACAGATTAGTTACTCAATCGTACGTTTTTGGTTTTTTTTTAACGCCGATCCTACGGCCATGTTTACCTACTTCAGGCTTATCACATGTGTCCACAGCGAGTTCCGACACTGACGTACGCTCTCTTCGCTTCATCCATTTTTTCGTTAGATTGTAGCCTCCCTCAACTACAGTCCGTTGTGTCCGTTCTTCCAGTTTTCTGGTATCATTGCTCTAGTATCCGCACCAGAGCAAGGACACTCTCAGACTAACATAGACTAGTTCTACAGGTTGACTTGATTTCCGCTTCATTAATTGTCCCATCGCTCAACAGTCGTAGCTTGGATAACTAGTGTCCAATTCACTGCACGTCAACAGCGCATCGGTTTGTCTAAAATCAGATGGAAAGGTTACTTTTAGTTGGCATTCTGAGTGGCTGATCATTTTACCGGAGGAATCAGGTGCATTGCAAAACCATTGGTAAGCACTACCAGTGCATTTGTGTGATTTTTAAGCCCTGCGAATCCCAAGGCTCGACTGCGTGTAACGCGCGGTGCCTGTGAACAAAAGCAACCAGTGTGATTTGTGTGAACACAGCTAGGTCTGCGTCGTTTACCTCGTCGCTGACCCTAATCGCAAATAGCCACACAGACACGCGGCATGTTCCGTATGTCGCCAGGTCAACAGACTGGTATATATTCGGCTAAACTCTGGCGAATATTTCCTAACCGTTAGATTGCAAAGGCAATTTCTAAATGTAGTCAGATAGACATGGATAAGGTTTATTTCTCGACCTCGCCGAATACCGTCAGCTGTACGAGAGCAGACCATAAATTGAGTGTAGTTCTGAAACCATAGTGTATGAAAATGTATGTAACAGAAACTATAGTAGGGTACTGATATAGTTATTTGCCCCAACTCCAGCAGTCGGCTAGTTGAGGTGTGTAGGATTTCGTCAGTAAAAAGGGATAAGGATTTGGATAAGAAGTCTTAGTTAATAAAACTTTGTTTTCTCGAATTTATCCCCTAAAGAGTCCTCAAAGTCGGCGTCTAGAGCTTAACATTAATATAGAATTTTACACATGCCATTCCTTTCCTCAATTTCTTGGATTTGTGTTATGACACATAGTTTGCCTGCATTCTGACCAACTCATGTCTTCATCATTCGTTCATCTCTCTTGTCAGATGTCACTCGTGGATCTAAAATAAGATCGAACAAGTGCAGACAGTATTTCGACCGGAAACAAAAGTACCCATACGCAGTACATACTTGTTACATACAGTGGAGCTCTGTAGGAATGATAATTGCTTTTATGGAACTTACACATTCCATGAGAAATTTCGTCCTTGGAGCTGTGTAAAACGCGAGAATTTTCTTCAAATAAGATTTAGTAAATGGAACGCCGTTTTTCATTTCTTCCCTGGTAGGTGACTGTTCCACTTTCTTCTCTAAAGAGCTCAGGATTTCGTCAGAGGCGTTGATGATGTCAAGGGATCTCGAATCGGAACCATCGTGCTCGCTAGTCATTGTGGTATGCATGCGCTTGTCCTTAAATTTCAGGCACCTGTCCGACGATAGTAGGAGAGGACAAAAGATGGAGAGTATCAGACAGAATCCACTTCCTTGTATACCGTGGGACCAAGCAAGGTTGAGCGAAATCTGGCAAGCAACCGAGCTGATGAATTTTCGACGGACCGTCTTGTTGGCTAAGCTAAGACAATTGTATCCTCCCCAAAGTGGTGTCTCACGCTCTATCAAAAGCGCAGTTAAAGCCTGAGGAAAGACGGGAATGAAAGGCATACTTTTACTCGTATTATTTTGTCAAAATATTGCTAGTTACCATATAATCAGGACATAAAATTATTGCAACGCCTCAGGTCGATCTCAGCTGAAGGGTGGAATTCATCTACAGTTGGTTAATTCGCTTGACTAGCAATGTTCTGAGCAAATGGCTATCTATAGCTTTTCAATTATACGGCTTCCCGGTCTACATGTTACGCATTAGAACCAGCCGACGAAGATTAACCTTTTCTTCATGGAGGCAAAGAACTGCACATTATAAGAAGGAAGCGATTTGATTTTCCTGCATCTAACACAACAGCCGTTAAAACCGTACTAGTCAGAGTTCCTCCTTGACAAACAGCAGATAGCGGAAACCCTGAACCAAGAATAAATCCTGTCTTTTTAACTAAAAACCACAAGTGAATAGTACGCGAGCCATATTGAGAGCTATTAGGCTACGTTGATTTTGTCCAAATTCAATATACAACTGCCCATGTAGTCATAAATTAGCCCTGGCGTGTGGTAGTTAGACGTATCATGAAAAGCAAGTAATATACATGGGGCTATTTCTTGTTTAGTTCACATGTACTACACCAGAATGAAAAAGCTATAAGCACCCACTGTCCAGTTGCTCACAAAATAAGTTACCACCTTGGCTCAGACAGTTTTCTTTGCTTTATCTGAAAGTGCCTTCCAGTATACGGCACGTGTCTGTTCTTGCGAAACATATTATTGATATTGTGAGAGCGTCGTCACAATATGCAACTTGAAAGTGGCTTTGGAGGAATCCAGAGACTGCCTGACGATTCCGTCCGGTAAACCCACTTGCATAACAGTAGTCTGTAACACAAAACTGGGAACGTTACAAACTGAGGTTGTGCCAACATTGGCTTAATGCCCCTGCCCAGTATCAGGTGTATATGCTACAGAAAAACGCGCGATATGATGCTAAGCGTTTCGTCACTAGCCGGAGGTCTTGCATCAGGGCAAGCTTAGGAGCTATGATCGTCTCCGACATTTAATCAGTGCTGCACAGCACTCTACTACTAAGGTCCGGAAAGTAGTTCAAAGTGAAGCCGTCTGTCACTTGAAATAAACAGCCTGCCTACGTCTACTAAAATGAACCTGAATATACGAGTCATCATAGAACGCTCGGACAGCGGAAAACAACCAATCTGGAAAATCGTGACCAAATACCTATGTCGTCAGATAAATTTGTACTTCACCGCCTACTTCAGATTCAGTGGCCAGTTATATGGCGCAGCGAAACTATGTCCTATCCATCCTTGTGCGCTGCAGATCGATGTGCAGAGATTTAAGAGTAGCCTGTTTGTGTTACTAAACAGGTAGTAAATATGATATATAGACGATACCTTCGTAATACATTAACACTAACAAGTAAGGTGCACACATTGGTTGTTCATCAGTGCCACTAATAAAATTCAGTTCACAGACAGTTCAGTGATGAAGCGTAATCTTTCTCCCCCGGATGAGCGTCTCGCGAAGGAGGGGGATGGATAAGTACGAACACCGGCTTACAAGACATCTGCACGTAGGATCCACGCTTATGATCGCTATAGAAAGCACACGGAATGTCACAAAAGCAATTGTACATGGACTCAGTTTCACAGAAAGAGACCCCAGGGTCAATACTGCGGAGTCAAATGAATAAAGTTGCACTATATTTTTATGTCGCCATAACACGCTAACAAGAACGCTAAGCATTCGGCTAGCTTAAATGGTACTCGTTAGTAGCCTGCATCCACGGATCGTTCCGGATCCGAAAGTGTGGTCTTAATCTTGGGATATACGGGTTAGGCTGTGACAAGCCGTCTCGAAAATACAAGTTTCCCTACTACTGTCTAAGAATCGTGGCTATTGTTTTGCTACTTGCTAATTAATATTTAAGCAGAGTCGTTCGGTGTAATGCCTGCAACACGTGATTGCAACTGCCAAATCTGCTTCTCATGCAGGGATAAATCTGGCCATCCTATTTCAGTCAAGGCCATCTCGTGCTACCAATCAGCTTGTTATGATCACTAAGGAAAAGTTTATGTAGGCTATGAGGCAACGTCACTACACATGAAAGGTTACATGCTCTATGAGTATTATATGAACGAACCAGCATTGGAATTTTCAGGTAATATAAGATGTTCTAAGATGGACTTCGAAAGACTGCTGCGTCGCTAGCCGTCTTTCGCGATCCGCTCTCAGCTAGCTCCGAAGAGCTCCCCAGAGCCATTCTTGGAAGCCGCCCCTCTACAATACTACACAGGCTATCCCCAGCACGCGAATCGTTGCAACGAGAAGAACAAGCTGGGTTTCGCCCTGGCCGCGGATGCATCGATCAACTCTTCACACTTCGCCAGATCCTCGAGCTCCGCCATATGTATCAAAGGCCAACGATTGCTGTGTTCCTGGATATCCGTGCAGTCTTCGATTCTGTCAATCGTACGGCACTGTGGCACTGCCTACTGAGGAATGGTGTCCCCGAGAAATTCGTCTCCATACTGCGTGCTCTCTACAGTCAGACCTCCGGCAGGGTTAGGGCTTATGGTAAGCTTTCGCCTACCTTTGCAGTCTCCAGTGGAGTTCGACAAGGATGCCCTATCTCTCCGTTCCTATTCAACTTTGCCATCGAGGATGTCTTGAAGAACGCTCTAGGCGATTCGTCGAACGCTGACGCTGAGCTTCTCCCAGGTAGTTGAGTTGTTGATTTGGATTATGCTGATGATATCGTCTTGCTGGGTGACGATCCACAGGTCGTCCAACTTGCATTAAACCGCTTGGCGATTGAAGCATCAAAGTACGGTATGTACTTTTTGCCATCCAAATGCAAAGCTCTCTTCCAAGACTGGCAGGTGCCTCTGCCTGCACTTACTCTTGCTGGTGAGACACTAGAGGTTGGGAAGTTGCATCACCGCTGGCGGGGCTGTTGGAGACGAGATTTCGATGCGCAGCTCGAGACCACTCCTCGCTTTTTCTAGGCTGAGACACTTGTGGCGTCGCTGCGACATTCGTCTCTCCTTCAAAGGGCGGGTCTATTGTGCAACTGTTCGTGCTGTACTGTTGTACGGATGCGAGACCTGGCTCATTCGTAAAGATGACTTGCGCAGGCTATCCGTCTTCGAGCACCGCTGTCTGCGGTTCATTGCCCGTGTGTGGAGGCAGCACCACGTAAGCAATGTGGAAGTTAGACAGCATGTCTTGGGACGTGGAAGCCACTCGCTCGAGGAGCTCATCTCGCTGCATCAACTGCGGTGGTTGGGACACGTATTGCGCATGCCTGTCCAGCGTTACCCCCGTCGTGCGTTGTTTGCACTTGTTGGACTGGGCTGGAAGAGACGGTCTGGTGGACAGCCTACAACATGGAGAAGCCGCATGAAAAAGCTGACGAAACAGTTGGCCTCGGCCGGTTGTTGTCGACTACCTGGTTGGGGTCCGAGAGGTGCGGATACTTGCTTGTTGGAAGACATGGCTCAAGATCGCTGTCAATGGCGGACGTGTGCATCGGTTTGTTGCGGTGTCCCTTCTTCCTCCCCCTAAAAAAGAACGAACTGAAAAAATTTCAAACACTGTGAGTGGTAAAATAGACAAAAAAGCAGTTCTTGTTGCTTTTTCTTATTATTCATATGGTTTTCCTATTCAGCCATGATTCCGATGGCAAAATATCTGCACCACAGATTGTGTATTATATATATATATATATATATATATATATATATATATATATATATATATATATATGTCAAACCTTGCATCATCTGCTGATGAAAGAGGTCGAATAGAAATGGTCCAGGCAGTGTCAACAGGCATTCTAGAAATTGAAATCTCTGCTGAAACCAGACCTATTGCTTACTCATTACAGTCCGAATCTGGATGTCATCCTGGCTACAGACGCTTCGAGCTATGGAACTGGTGCAGTCATTTCATACCGATTGCCAGAAGGTTCAGAAAAGGCTGTGGCGTATGCGGCGCGAGCCATGACCATCTCTGAGAAGAACTACAGCCAAATCGAGAAAGAAAGTCTCGCTATTGTTTTTACTGTTCAGAAATTCCACTAAATGATTTACGGTCGGCGTTTCACATTAGTGACGGATCACAAACACTTACTCGCTATCTTTGGGTCCAAAAAGAGTATTCCGGCGTACACGGCCAGTCGACTTCAGAGATGGACCAACTTGCTCTTGGGATGCGATTTCAACATGAGATATTCGTCAACTGAATCTATTGGGTAAGCGGACACCCTGTCCAGATTAATCGATACTAGTCGACGTGAGCCTGAGGATGTCGTTATTGCTTCAATCACAACCGACACGGATACCAGCCACATGATACGCGATGCCGTGAGTACCTTAGAGGTAGACGCAAGAATGGTTCAGCAAGCCACGAACTAAGACGCATTGCTACAGGACTTATTAACGTATATGAGACAACGCTAGCTAAAGCAATGCCCTGACCTCTCTCTTGTATAGTTTTTCACGCGACGCGACGCTTTGTCCGAAGTCGATGCCAGTCTGTTTTTCGCGGATCGCCTTGTCATTACCGGAGTACTCAGGCAACGCGTGTTGAGGCAGTTGCATAAGGGCCACCCAGGAGTCGCCCGCATGAAAGCACTTGCGTGCAGTTACGTGTTTTGCCCCATGATGGATAGTTAAATAGAAGACATTGGACGATCGTGTTCTAAGTGCTGTAGTGTTTCCAAGTTACCAGTGCGGAAAACATTACAATCTTGGCCGAATCCC